CTGATGAACTATCTAGTGTCTTTGATGACGAAACGGATGAGAATCGTGTGCACCTGCTGGTACACAACATTGTGCCTCCATTCCTCGATGGCAGAATCGTTTTCACGCGGGTAAATATCATTATTGCTTTTGCATTATAATAGTTTGAAGTAATTGGCAGTGAAATCGGAATCACCTATGTATTTCAGCAATCGAAACCAGTCATACCGGTAGTGGATACAACGTGCGATATGGCTGTAGCTGCGGCTCGTGGAAGTAAAGTTGTTAGGCAGTTCCGAGAATCGGAGGAGAGGAAGAAGGTGAGTTTATCGTTGAGCTGGATAGAGCTCTTTTTTCTTTTATCGGAAGAAGGGAATCTATGAAAGATTTGCAGGCTCAAGAGAAGCATTGGGAACTGGCTGGAAGCAAACTCGGCAATTTGATGGGCGTCAAGCAGAAGCCAGATGAGACTGCTGAAGACGATGACGATGCCAATGATTATAAAGTTAGTTTAATCTGAATTTTTTGGATTGAGTTAGTCACATCGTTTGAAACTGCATGACTTTTTAGGGATCTCATCAGTTTGCAACGCATATCAGTGAGAAATCGGAAGCTGTGTCAGATTTTGCTATGGAAAAATCGCTGAAGGTGAGAAACAATTTCAGTAGTATGGCAATGCTACTATTAACTCTTTAAGTTTTTCAGCAACAACGAGAATATCTCCCAGTATTTGCATGCCGGCAGAAAATGATGACTGTTATCCGAGAAAATAACGTAGTTATTGTCATCGGAGAAACTGGTTCAGGAAAAACAACCCAGCTAGCTCAGTATCTCTTGGAGGATGGTTTTGGAGACACAGGTGAAGATTTCATAGGCTTTGTTTATGTTCTTGCATTAATTGCTTGCTACACAGGCATTATTGGATGTACACAACCTCGTCGAGTCGCTGCCATGAGTGTGGCGAAGCGTGTTGCTGATGAGATGGGTGTTGAGGTAAGCAGTTCATAGTTGAAGTTAATCCGGTTAAATCTGCTAAGATCATTCCA